ACTGCTTGTGACACCTTCCATTACTTTGCTGATTATGGAGAGCAGACTGATAGGTGGGCATTGGCCAGTTTGGATTTGTCCCTTTGTTTTGTAGACAGGACACACCCTGCCAGTTTTCCACATTGCTGGGTGCGTGCGAGTATTATAGCTGCACCAGTATGGTTTGGCCAGGGGCATTGCTAGTTCTGGAGTAGTGTCTACAGTACTATTGTTGGAATGTTGTCAAGGCACATAACTTTTGCATTATACAGTGTCTTCAGTTGTTCCTTGACATCATGTGGAGATATGTTTCTGAAAAGGGTGATGTGTTGGTGTCTAAAGCAGTTGATGCTGCAATAGTAACACATTTTCTTGAGTTTTCCTTCGCGAATTAGTTGGTTTGGCTAGTGGCCTTCTGTTTACACACTTGGTTTCTCAGTTTTTCACTTGAGTGCTCCTGCTTGTTATTACAGATTGTTTCAGGATGATAATGGAATAGTTTAGGTTAGATGGGCTTCAGATTGGTTTCACAGGTCGGCGCAACATCGAGGGCCGAAGGGCCTGTACTGCGCTGTAATGTTCTATGTTCTATGTTCTATGAACTTCCTTTTTAATATCTCCCATAGCTCAGTTGACTGGATGGCTGGTCTTTGCACTACAGAGTAATGCTAACAGTGTGGGTTCAATCCCTGCACTGGCTGACAATGAAGGGCTCTCCTTCTTGACTTCTCCCCTCACCTGAGACATGGTGACCCTCAGGTTAAACCACCAACAGCATCTCTCTCTCGTAAGAGAATAGGACTATGGAAACTTTACCTTTAGATGTGTTTCCTCAATGTGTATAATTTGAAATATTCATCCCTGTGTTTAAATCCTGTAATGGTCATGCTTCTTCCTATACCTGTTGCCTCCTCCAGTGCAACACTACCTTTGACCTACCATTGAACTTTCCATTCATTTAGCATTCCATATTTCTTGTTTATTTTTTCCCCTGTTACTGGTAACCAAGAAGTCCATTCCTACTCTTCATAACTCTCTGTTAACCTTTGCCCTTTAAAGTTTTGCTTAAAATTTATCGTTTTGATCTGCATTTTGGGCACTCATTCTAATGTCTCCTTGTGTGGCTTAGTATCCATTTACACCCTTGCATTTCTGTAAGCTACGTTGTGATATTTTCTGCATGAGAGGATATATTAAAATGTAAGTTAATGTCATAAACTCTTGGCCTACCATACTGTGACAGAATAGGGTGAAAGGCTTAAGCAACATTATTTTGTCCTTTTAATTACCACCACTACATTCTGAGATGGAGACAGAAATACAACATCTACAAAAACTCACATCACTGCACACAGGGAAACAGAGTACAAGCTATTTCAATTTGCAGTTTTAGGGCATCTTCACGTAAAGAAATGTCACAGAGCATTTTACAAGGAACACTGAGCTGGATGAATTTAAGCAGAGGAAGCTCCATTTCAAGCTTTTATTTTACTTTCAAAATCATCAAAACGACAGGGGGACAATTTTTTTATTCTTAAAATGCAATGTTTTGGTCTGAGAGTCAAGAAAACAGATGATCCAAAAGACAAGAAAACATATTACACCTTTTGCTTTTTAGTTTTGGTCATAGGTAACTGCATGCAAAATAGTGCCTTTAGATAAAAATAGTGATTTTACTGGAAGTGAAGCTTCACCACATTTAGGCTACATTGAATTTCCAAAACTGGTACTGTTGTGAAGTGTCAACAACCTACTTAAAGCTATTAAGTAACTTTGGTTCCTACATGTCTTGTAAAGTATGTATGTATACATACTATATTTAATTTGAAAATAGACCTTGAGATAATTTATTTCATGTGAAAAATCTATAAATTGTGTTAGTTACTAATGGCTAACAGACAGAAGAAGATGTGCATTATCTGCATCTGGAGTTTTGTAAAAGTCAACACACTCGTAAATTATCAAACAGCAGGAAATGCCTCCCTTTTTTCCCTCAAAGAGAACTTGAAACTTTTTCTCCCTTCCTGCACTTACATGCTAATGGCATGAATAAAACTTCTAATTAGTGAGGATCTTTGAAAGGCTTAGCCTCAATGACAAATTATTTATGGGATCCTTTTATTCAACAGTTGACAGGGACTGGATTTAAAGGCAGCTTTATTATCAAAAAAGCTTGGAGCAACCTGAAGGTGAGAAAGCTAACCCTCCCCTGGGCAGCCTCACTGCTCTCATTTGAAGAGAAGGGAAATATAATTATCCTTTGACAGTTGGTGATAAACTGGAAGAATGAACATATCATTTACATCACATGACAACAAAAAGAGCTACCTTCTTTGAGACCCAATAGTCACAGAACCAATGTTGCTATAGGCAAGTGATGAAGGATTAATACTTGTTTCTACATACCACTGGACAGCGCAGGAGGAGTGAATGTGTTATCTCTCTGGGAAGATATTACTCCAGCTGTAGGTTGAAAAATGATTTAGTGTACACTTTGGCCTTTGTAAACTCCTAGACTGGAGGCAGCAAAATCTTTGACTAGAGGGTGACAGAATTCATGAAATGCCAAAGCTAATTAAGAGCCTAAACAAGGAACCTGAAATAATACCATTGGACATCAAACTCAATATTTTAAGTGATTTATTGCTGTCACTAAAATATTGCAAAATGTTATTTGAGACAAGTTGGTTAAGCATTCTTATACTCGTTCCCACAGTGTGATCTCAGGATCTAAATTAATAGTGATAGCTATGTCTGTCCAAACACAATTTTTGATATATCAGCTAGTTATTCATTCCAGCCCCTGGACCTATATAAAATGCAACATGCTACAGTTTTTTATTTTGAAGCGTTCTTCAATAAGTTTGACCTGAAATGAGGAAAGAAATCGTGGTTGGCTATTTGCTTGTTTTGCAGCTTTGATTGTGAGTAGAACTGCACTTCACGTAAATATGCTGACAATCCACATTCTTTATTGGCTCATGGGCTAACAAAGCCAGCTTTTACTACCCATCTTAATTGCCATCTAGAATGTGGTGGCTAGCTGCCTTCGTCAATTCTTGCAGTTCTTGAGGTGTAGGTACAGTCATAGTGCTGTCAGAAAGGGAGTTTCAGGAATTTGACCCAGTGGCAATGAATGAATGGCAGTATATTTACAAGTTGAATGGTGTGTGGCCTGGAGAGGATTGTCTCGTTGTTAGTATTCATCTGCCTTTGACCACCTAGATGGCAGTTTGCAGATTTGAGAAATATCGTCGAAGAAACATTGGTGAGTTGTTGCAGTGCATGCAGATTGTAGATGCAACCATCAAGTGCCAAAGCAGGGACCATTGAATGTTTAAAGAACAAATGAAAGTACAGCAGATGAAAATTGTACTTAGTTGGCCTAATTGCCAAGGAAAATTTGCTTAGATAAGTTGAGCCACAATTTAAAACAGGATGGTTACTTTCTTCACTGTTTCCAATGAATTGTAGAGTGTGCATATGCATCCAATGGGAACTGAGGTAAAATGTTTCAAACTCATTTGGATGTCAAATTCTCAAAAAGAACTTACTTTCCTCAGTTTCAGTTGAACTCTTGTTCTGAGGTGTGAAGGAACAATTGTTTAATCCACTACCCAGCCCTATGAATATGCAGTCTAAATGGGCACTGATATCTTTAGTGATTCCATCATGATTGGATATAACACTTCGTGTCAGTTTGCAATACTTCCAATAACTAAGTCGTTGGTTTGATGTCAGAAATGATTCAGGCAGTACTTCCTTCATAATTTTCATCATGTAGCCATTTGCAGCTACACAGATGGGTCAAAACTATGACATTGAATCCTGTGCTCATCTCCCAACCAGCTTTCACCTCTCATGTACAGGGCACTAAAACTTGTAGTTCAGTATCATTGTTTTTTCCTGGTCCGTGTACAGATAAACATAATAGATTTACAAACAGTGATGATAGATCTTTTCATCAGATGGTCTTCCTATCCTGTTCATTTAACAATGGTACAGATTGTAAACTCCTGTTACAATGGTTGAAAAATGACATTTAGACTGTAATGGTGAAAGCTTCAAAGACAGCGACAGTCTAGCTGATTATCAATGTTGAAACATCTACACAAATTGTAGGATCTCTAAGATGCTTTAGAAGTTGGCAAGTACATAGTAGACTACACAAACAAAAATTTGTATTATTGCCCTTATAAATAGAGCCTACAGGGTTCTCTAATTCTCTCAAAGAACTTGTATCAAAGCAGTACTCGAATCTGAAAAAAGACAGCTGACTTAGCGACAGCTTGACTGAGTAAATCGAAGCAAGCAGCAGTTAATTAATAATATAATACATCTCAACAAATGTTCTCCTAAATTAGAAAAATGGAAAAAAACTGTTTGTCTAGTGAAATCACATGATCAGGCCCTGCATCCTAAATCAGTATTACATCTCTTCTAACTCTGTACAACAGTGCAATTCTAAATTCAATTGTACCACAAAATCACCATAGATCAAATCAGCAGGAATACTTTAAAACAAAGATTTACCACCTAAGTCTATGCTGCAATTAATACCTAGTACATCATTGGCAGGATCAGATGACCAGTATAAATTATCATGCTTTCCTGACTGGGTTTGATGTCACTTAAATCCTTTGACTGGATCAATATTTTATAAATTATTTATGTGCCATTTTCCTGTTTAATGGTTTGAATCAATTAGGAATGTTGCTGATAATTTTACAGTAAGCTTTGTTTTTGTTTCTACTTTGTAACATGTTGTGCATTTAAATGTGACCATTGGGTTCAAAGCACTGACCCCATATTTTTCTGACACTTGATTCAAACACTGAACGTATTTAGTGAAACTGTCAATAAAAATGTCAATTTAAGCTCATTGGTTGGAAGAGGTGATGGGATGATCTAATTAAAGAACATGTACTTTCAAGTCTAGCTCTGAGCTGGCAATAACAGGCTGAATTAGAAGGAGTGCAGCTTAGAAATATGTACTAACATGACTGCCTTTCATCTTCCAGTTGATCAGTGGGATGAACAGCGGAGATGTCGAATTTGGGTGCCACAGCTTAAATTGGCTAATTTTCCATGTTGAGACGAAATAAATTGTATGACAGACCAGTCAATTATTTTGCATTAATGGTAAGTACTACTTCCACTTTTAAGTTGAATTCAGTCCCATTAATTCTGGGAGCTGGAAAATATTTTGAGTGTTGAAGCATGACGCTCATATTTGCAATCTGCACACTTCTAATACAGATTGAAGGATTCGTCTCCTGTCTGTTAACAAACACCCAAATGGTGAACTTCTTTGTGGATATTATAAGGAGTATATTTGATGAAATTCGCTGGTTACTGAGGATGGGTTCAAACCCACTACTGGTCATACTTATGTAGTATGGACTGACTGCTCAGTGAAGCGTGTAGGGAGTTTCATACTGTTAAAAGATATCCATTTTTTTCGGATGAAATGTTAAACCATGTCTCTAACTGTTTATTCACATAACCGTAATAGATTCTATGATGTTAATCAGAGTAGGCAATTCATGAGTATCTGGTCAATAGTTTTCCCTCAACCAGCTGGCCATTCATCCAAGTGACTTTTAGTCGGACTTTGATGTGTACACAGTGACTCCATTACTTGCTTACAACAGTGGCTGCACTTGAAAAGTTATCCATTGAGAGTAAAGCACTTAAACATTTCCCAAGGATGCAATGAGGCGCCATGTGAACGCAAGTTAATATTTTTCCAAATTAGACTTTGATTACCTCACAAGTTAAAGACTTTGAATAAAATTAAAGCCATGGGAATCTAGGCGAGGGCAAAAAGGGGAAGCTGCTTTTATATTGCTGTCAGGATCTCAGAGGAATGGCCTAAGTGTACTGCTGACTCTGTCATGGCTTGAATAGTGCAGACAGTCTCCAGTTAAGTCATTGCAGAGAGCTGAGTTGCAGCATGTAGTACATAGATACACAGATTGTCTGTGACTACTGGGCCAGTATGCATTCACACAATAGTGATATTATAGTTCCAATATTTACAGGGAAGCAGGGAGGTTGTATGAAAGGCCAAAAAACAGATGAGGAACCTGGCAAGACCTGGCAGGGCCTCATTGAAATCTCATAGCTCCAATGCCTGCCCAGCAGCTCATCTTATTCTCAGCCTTACCAGTGGGTGGGCGGTAATGGCAACTGCAGGGCTGGCATGCAGGAGGGAGCAAGGGGTGGTAAAGTGGGGTTACAGGAATCAGTTGGAGCTGATGGAGGGCCTCCAGTCGGGGAGGTGAGATTGATAATTCGGACTGGATTGGGGCTGCTGAGATCAGTGATGGAAAGAGAGGTGTCCGCTATTGGTGGTCGTTATATGGAAGGTTTGAAATCAGTGTGAGAGGAGAAGTCAAGAATTGGTAGTGAAATAAGGTTGACTCCAACTGTCATGTTGGGGAGGAGGCTGCAGGGAGGTGGGGAGGTGGGGTCGGCCTACAGTTGGAGGGAGAGGGGGAGACTGTCATCCACGATGGAGGGACAGGCCTGTGACTGGGCCAGGCATGAGGGTGAAAAGGGGCCTGTGAGAGGGGTTGGCGGGCAATGTTTGGGTTTAGCAGCAGGTGAGGCCTGTGATCAGGGACTGAGGGTCAGGTTAATGAGAGACATGAGGTCAGGAGGGGCTGGGAATCTGGAGATTGGCCAGGGATGAGGAACCTGCTGTTTGAGATTTCCACGAGGAGGCTGGTGATCAGGAGTGGAGGACGCCAAAATGTTTCATTCAGGGGCTGGGAGGAATGAAACTACTGCTCCTGGAAGACAATGTGCCAAGTTTCCTGACTGCTAAGAAGCTTACTTTGTGCTGTGTAAAATCCTAAGTGTAATATGATAATTAGGTGTGACATTGTTTCACAAGAGGACAATGAATCCACCATTATAAGAATGGTGATTGGTGCCCAACATGGAGGAGTTATTAGTAAGGTCTGCAGTACAAAATGGTTACCTTTAGATCATGATGATTCCTGAAAGGAATTACACTGTGGAAGACCATGAAATGGAATACCCTTGGAGTTTCTCCCATTCTTTCTCAGCAATCTTTCCAGAGGTGCAGTGAGAATTGCATTTATGTGATGATGCTTTCTGCTCTACCTCTGGCAAAGTCAACAAAAGAGCATAAGCAACTACAAGGAAACTCCAGGCCTGTGTTGAAAATGAAGCAGGACTTCCTGACTTCAAGTTTTATGAAATTATTGATTTCAGCTGCAACCAACGGCAGGAGAGCTACACCTCAGGAACTGTAGGCCACAGAAGGCTGTGTAAAATCAAGTACAGGGTACGGCAATAGCAACTGTTCTATCTATATAGCACCTTCAACATCAAGTTCTCAAGGTGCTTTGCCGGAATATGCGCAGGAGTACTCTCAAACAGAATTTGACACTGAACCACATGAAGTTGCATCATGGTAAAGTCACTGCACTATTAATTCATAAACTCAAGTTTATAATCTGGGACGGGGGTTCAAATCCCACCACATCAAGTGATGAAATTAATAAAATCTGGAATACCAAACTGGTTTTAGTAATGAGCATCATGAAACTGTCATTGGTCTTCTTCATAATGCCCATATGGTTCACTATAGTCCTTTTATCTGGTCCTTACTTGATCTGGCCTAATGTGATTCCAGATTTGCTATACTGACTTTCTCTGAAATGTCCAACTAAGCATTCAGTTATATGAGAACAAGGGATGGACAACAAAATGATGCCCACATTTAAGGAAAGCATAGATTTTTTAATAAAATAGACTAGGACATGTAACCGAAAACTATAGACACAAATGTAATTTGTAAGTAGGGTCTTGAAAGAGTGGAGAGTGGTAGACAAGTGGTTAGATTTAGAGTGGCAATTCGTAGGATTGCTCATTAGATGCATACCAAGAGTGATATGAATTTCAGAACCTCCAAGATTATTAACTTTGAGTAACAATATTTCGTTCCTACATTAATGATCTGAATGAAGAAACCAATTGTAAACTTGAAAATATAAAATAAATTGTAAGAACTAAGACAACATTCAATAATTTATAAAATTGTTCAGAATAGTTAGATAATCAGTTCAGAACTGCCAAATGAATGTTTGCATAATGAATAAAAATATGTGTGATATAATGAATGTGATAGAATTAGCACAGAAAATTTAAGAAAGCTTCTGGTACTGAAAATAGACAGATTTTTTGATATCACTGTAATGTTAATAGGCAATAACGAGATAAGTAGTGGAATACACAACCAGTAAGGGTGTGTTAAATGTCTGCAGGAAGCCTGTTGAGGCTTTATAATGCATTGGTGAGAAAAATCTTGCTGAGTACTCTGAGCGGTTTTAGTTACTCTGCTTCAGTAAAGACATAGATACATTAAAGAGGGAGCAATGTGAGAGAACAAGCACGAAGAATGATCTGGGGTGTAACAGGAGTGAAAGTCAGAAAGATTAGAGAAACTCAAACTCTAGAGGCTAGAACAGATTATCCAAATAAGACATACGAAGAAGGTATGGGATGGATAACATAAGCCCAAATATTTTTTCACGATGTCATAAATTTAAATGAATGAAAATGAAGTATAACCCCTGTATTGGAAAGAATGTTTACTCAAAGGTTGATAAGTATTTGAGTCTGTGATGTTCAGTGTATTCAAATGCTGATTTGGCTGATTGGTGGAAGGTTGAATGTGAATGATTACTACTTTTGGCCTTGAGTTTATTGTGTTCCAAAGATAGTGCATAAAAACAAAGTTGGACTGCTGCAAGCCTTTATCCTGGTACCATAGAACCACAGAATCACAGAATGACACAGCACAGAGGAAGGCCATTTAATCCATTGTGCCCATGCTGGCTTGGTAAAGCTATTCAGCTAGTCCCATTTGTACTTTCCCCACAGCCCTGACAATTTTTCCCATCATACATTTATCCAAATCCCTTTTGAAAGTAATGATTGAATCTGCTTCTACCACCATTTCAGGCAGTGCATTCTAGATCAAAAACACCTGCCGAGTAAAAGTAAATGTTTTCTATGCCATTTCTGATTTTTTTTTGCCAACAACATTAAATCTGTGTCCAATAATTACTGACCATACTGCCACTAGAGAAAGTTTCTTTTCAATTACTTCAGTGAGGTGTTAGTAACTGCTTTTGATATCAAGAGAACGTTGGACCCAGTGTGGCATTGAGTAGCCTTAACAAAACTGGAATTCAAACTGGGTGGAAATCACTCCACTACTTTGAGTCATACAAACACAAAGGAAGATGGTCATGGTTGTTGGATGTCAACCATTTCTGTGCCAGGATATCTCTGCAGGAGTTCCTCAGCATAATTCCTTGGCCCAAACACCTTCAGCTGCTTAATCAATGACCCTCACTCAAACATAAGTAGAGAAGTAGGGATATTCACTGATGATTGCACAATGTTCATCACCATTCAGACTCCTCAGATACAAAAGCAGTTCATGTCCATATGAGGCAAGATATAGATGACAATCAGACTTGTGTTGTTGAGCGACACCTATCACATCATATAAGTGCCTGACAAGAGAGAACCTGATCACGATCTCTTGGCATTACCAGCACTTAATCACCCACTATCATTAAAATTGACCAGAAACTGAAACTGAACAGCTACATACATAATGTGGCTGCAAGAACTGGTCAGCGGCTGGGAATTTTGTGGTGTGTAACTTACTTCCTGACCAAACCCGAAGCCTGTCCACCATCTACAAGGAGAAGTTTGGAGTGTGATAGAATAATCTCCACTTAACACTCCAACAACACTTCAGAAGCTCAACATCACTCAGGATAGAGCTACTCACTTTAATTGGTACCACATCCACGCACATTTGTTCCCTCCATCACTGAAGCACAGTGGCAGCAACAAACACCATCATCAAGATGGACAGCATCTTCTAAACAGCAACCTCTCCCACCTATTTGGACAAAGGAAGTAGCTACACAAGAACACAATTGCCAGCAAGTTCCCCTCCAAGTCACACACTATCCTGACTTGAAACTACACCGCCATTTTTTCATTGTCACTGGGTCAAAGTCCTGCAACTCTCTTCCAAAATCATTGTGGATTTCCCAACACCCCAAGGGCAGCAGTCGTTCAAG